TATATATATATATATATATATATATATATATAAAGTTTAAGATAGCCGTATACACTGTTAAATTATAGGCCTATATAAATCATCAAAGAAAGGTAAATACAGTGTTCGAATAAAAGATATGATAATACATCGTGTAGCATAGCTCTCAACGAATGTTGTCTTATAAATAAATGAATAAAAAAATTGTGTAATAAAATGCCTCTGACGGGATTCGAACTTGGGGATATATAATGTAGAACAAAATTATGACATCAGAGATGGTAATATAAAAGCTATTCAGTAATAATTTATTAAACACATAGTGAACGTTTTTGGTTAACAACAGTTGTCAAGTACAGGTGTTAAACCAAACACATTCGCTCAGTCTGGTTAATAAATTATTAGTGGCACTGTATATATCACCACCTCTTGGATGTTTCTTGCATGTTATGTTTTCCTATTCGTTTGCCATTGCAGGCCTCAACGTTTAATTATGCCCAGTGCATACAATTGCCATAAGAAATATAAACAAATATAATATAGCCTAGGCCCGCACTGAGTTTTCCAGAGGCCTATGTAATTTCGTCCATGTCGTACTGTTACCAGCATTGTTCTTCGTTATATATTAGTAACGCCTGGACAACTATCCATGAAATTATTGAGGGTAATATTTCAGTTTAAGCACAACGAAAACAATAACAAGAAAAAAAATCAATTTCGTCATCATAATCAACGCCTGAGAGATTATTGTTGTTCGTTTATAATCATGTGCAATATAATGAATTTTAATAAGATTAGCATTCATGTAAATTTCAAACGAATTTGGAGTGGAGTTGAATAGCTTAGTGGTTAAGATGACTAATCCCAGGCCCTCCATGACTTTTTCTCACGACTAAAAGCAACACCACTCCCTAAGGGTTATAAGGAGACCGTGGTTTGTGTAGCTCGGTTCCCATAGAATCGCTCACCCTATCGGCGACAGTCGGCGACAGTTGTCGGGAAGGTTGAACCTAGTTCAACTTTGCCGATTACGTTGCAGACGAATCGATGTGCCTTCCCGATTGCGTCAGGGCAGCTAGCAATGCACCTGATTCGTCTGCAACGCAATCGGCAAAGTTGAACCAGGTTCAACTTTCCTGCCATCTGTCGGCGACTGCCGCCGATAGGGTGAACGATTCTATAGATACCTAGCTTAAAACATCATCCATCCAGTAATTGCTGTTGGATGCGAATAAAATCATAAAATAAAATAAAATGGAATTCGCCCGTACACAAGGTTTTTGTAAAATGCACTCAAGCTTAATAAAGCAATGAATAAAATGTAAACAACTCAAAACCACAAACAAAGGTCTGCTTAATCCTAGAATCAAGAAACATGACAATGGCAATTTTACCTGTCCTCCCCCATTCCATCTCAATCGTTGGACAGGGCTGGAAATGCCACCCGTGCCCCCACATCTTGTTTTTCGGATCAAAAAATAATTTCATGAGCTGAAAATTAAGAAAATGAATAGGGAACCAAAAATGGTCCAGGTTCCGTGTGCGCTGCGTCTTCGTCCTGGTGTTTTTCGGTCCCCTGGCCACACGTCGGACAAAAAAAGAAATGGGCAAAAATGAATATTGTTATCCTTTGTTTAAATAGCAGTGGTGGTGCCAGCGGGGGGCCGGGGGCAGTCAAAATTTTTGGGGACTTCGCTCCTTGGACCACTTTCAAAATCTTTTAATCGAAGCTCGACCATGCCTACTTTGCTTTCGTTGGGGAAATCTGACCCCTCGTCCTTGGGGCATCGGTCCCCCCTTCGGAGNNCCCCCACCCTCGTGCAAATCCTGGCGCCACCCCTGTTAAATAGGCTTATATTTAAACTATGGTGTACTGTTTTTATTACATATTTCGCTAATCAATAATGTTGACGCCATTTTGATTATTTGATTAGGTCCTGATACTTGGCATAAGGAATTCCCGATCGCAAATGGCAAGAGACAGTCGCCAATTGATATCAATACGGCTCAAGTGCAATACGACTCGTCGCTAGGCAATCTCAAGCTGCATTATGATCCCAAATCTGTCAAGAACGTTTCTAATAATGGTCATACGTTCACTGTAGCCTTCAATCAGTCGGATCTCAATGGTAAGTGGATATGATAAGTATAAACTGTATATACAGCTACAGTTGTTATATTATAATCAAGAGAATATTATCAGTATCGTCTTCGTAATCGTCATTGTCATTTCATTATCAATTAGCATTATCATCATTGTCGTTACAATCGCCATTGGCATCAACATTAGAATTATTCTTATTATTGTCATTTAATAGGCATCCTGGTTTTGAATTACTTTAATTATTTATGAAATTAAATTATTATCCGTCAAATGAACATTACAACGAGAAATAAGTATAATTTTTCTCGTCAATTAACAGACGTATATGCAGTATACCGTTCATGCCTCAGTTGTTAAGTTGTTTGACTCATTGGAGGCCTAGTAAATTTAAAGATTTACTAGCGCGGTATATTATTTTAAATATAGGCCTAGGCCTATTTACCCTAACAGACACACTATAAATGCAAACTATTTTAAATACCCGGGAAGATTATTATTTTATATTTGACGATGGAACTACTATATGAATAAACATATATATAAATACAATATTACGAATGGTAGGGCTATTAGTTATACGTTCAATGATATCTTCATTTATTTGGCAGATTTAAGTGGTGGCCCATTGAAAGATAAATATGAGCTGGCGCAGTTCCATTGTCATTGGGGCAGCAGGGACGATGTTGGATCTGAACATACGGTCAATGGATCTTACTATGCCTCTGAAGTGCGTCTTTTTATGACACATATTTGTTAAGAATTAACTCAGAATAATATGTAGTTGATTGGTATATTATTAATACAGAAATCTAACCACCTAGCAGGGGCTGATCCAGATTTTTCAAACGTATTCAGAATAGATAAGTGAGTAGCACTAATTTCAATATCCTATGTATTGAATTTTTAAAATCTAGTGGCAAAAAATGTGGGATGGGGATCCCCGCCTCCTTAGGCCTATGATACAAGGCTCTCCCATCCACAGTTATGTGGTCATCGGTCCAGATTAATTTGAAAACCTCAAGTTCTTAATGTAATTATTTTTCCACCAAAATATTGATGATGCATGCACCGTTTCAGCCTCTTCAATCGGCATCGTTGCCTCACATTTCTATTAAGACGACGTTCTTCTTTACGCCCGCTTCTTGTGAACGTCGAGGGAAATTGCACACTCTTTCAGTCAAACCATGGATACCTCTATGGTCAAATGGGTACAGGTCAGACTCTTCGCGTTTTTCGCCGCCATCTGTGTTTGGGGCCCCTTTTAGAGGTAGCTGAGAATAACTCTGGTGTCCTGTGACGTGCCTGCAAGTTTTATCGCCACTGGACTTAGAAGTTATGGAAGGATCCTTTAACTTTCTGACTTCGGTGGCTCTTTTTAGCCCGGCACTTAAGGCCACTATAGCGAACTGGGTGGTCACGCACATTCGAGATGGCCGATAAATCCACACACACTCCTCCCCAGCCCATCTTAGGTCCGATCCCAGTTACCTCTTGGACTTCTTTTTCGAGGGGCTCTCAGCGACCATATAACGCTACTTTTCGAATTTAAGAAAGTTTTTAATAATAATTCAAATATCTTTTCCTTGTAGCTTCACCTTGTTCACTGGAATACGACCAAGTTCAAGTCGGTTGGCGATGCTATTAAATCAGACAGTGGTATTGCAGTTCTTGGTACTTTTATCAAGGTAAGTTGACTGGTATACAGGCCTACTTACTTTCACCACCTAAAATTAAATTAATTAGTTTTGTTGCTAAGACGATAAAGTCTCTGAAGACAGTTAAAATGCTATTTTTATAATTATTCTTTGTTTTCTTAGGTCGGAAAAGAGCACCCCTATTGGGCTAAAATACTTCCGTATCTTTCCAAAGTTGCTCACAAGGTAAGCATATTGACGTCATGATTTTAAGCCATCATATAATAATTATATCCAATGGCGGATTAAAAGGGGAGCGGGGTGGTGTGGCGAAAAAAATTATTTTCAAATTTTAAGTCTGAGAGTGCCATTTCCGGCTATCTAGAGGTGCCATAATCGTAATTTTTTTACCTCAGCCCAAAACATGGTGGGGCTGAAGTGGTATAGACTCTCCATCTGTCAAAGTCCCTCCCTGGGCCCCCCTCTATATCAAATTCCTGGATCTACCACTAATATCGTCATAAAAACCCGAGGGTGTTCAAAAACACAATTGGTTGCGACATAGCGCTCGAGTGAAGGATTCTAGCTATTGGATAAATCTACTACTAACGTTGTATGTTTTAAATACGGGGATTATGGGCTTATACCTTTTAGGATGTAAAACAATCAGATTCAAATGTATTTCCCTCATGGAAATTACATAATAATAATTTTGGCCTTGGTTGAACGAACAGAGTAGCCCAATTGTTGAATTATTATTACGCATGATCAATTTTATATTTTATCATTTAAACTTTTTTTCGCCAAAATAAGTCTGTTTTTATTTCGGGAATACAAGTAAAAACAATCATGCTTTGTTATGCTTTGTATTTTTTTTTCACGAAATGCAATTTTATTTCTTATCTTTTTTGTCTTCATCATCAATTAGAATCAGTCAGCTGATATTCATCTTGATGGTGGGTTCGATGTCTCCAAGATTTTACCAAGTAAGTCATCCAAAGTATGATTTAATTAAAGTTACAGTTAAAGTGTCTCACCGCCCACAGCGTCAAATGTCTTCATGACTATATTATAACATAGCATATATACTAAATAAATGCAGACGGCATAATAATGGTCGCAGTTGGATTTCGATAGTTGATATTTTATAGTTAAGCATGCCTACAAATAAACTTTTGTCGAATGTTCAGTCCCTCTGACTACCGTAACCGTTGTGCATATTTCTCGTTAAAGAAACATTTTTTTTTTTCACGGCAGGTATTGCACAGGCCAATGCTTTGCGTTTCTTGTGGGTAATTTGTAAATATCAATTCTCTTGTAATCAATATCTTATAAATACATTTCAGATAATACTAACGATTACTACACATACGAGGGCTCACTAACAACTCCCCCACTTTACGAGAGTGTTTCCTGGATCGTCTTCAAGGAACCTATTGAGATTTCAGAGGCGCAGGTGAGCATTATCATCAAATTCTTACCCGGCGTGTGAGAGAAAGTAAAAGAGTTTTTGCCACGCGTTCTGACGCCGCCTAATGAACGTAAGCCTGACCAAAGAACTTGAATAGCAGAAGAATGAGCTGTTCCGCGTATTTGCATTAAAATTAATGGAACATCCGCCCTCCCCAGAGCGGGGTAAAATTTGACCATTTGACTGAGTGGAGAAAATACAGGGAACAAACGAACCAGTATTTTTATTTACTGTACTGTATTGATGTATAGCGCCGCCGCGCGGACGTGGTAAAATTGCTCTTTGTGTACCCACAATGCATTTCGAACGGATGTTCCACTATATTGGAAAGCTGCTCTATCTTCTGCTATTTATTATCTTTGGCCTGACCAACGTTTTTTTTTTTGAGACAATCGTCAATCCTCTTGCGTTTCAAAGGGTCTGTAAACCAAGACTCGGAGGCCGATTGGACCTTTCTGGAGAGCCAGTCAAACTTAACGGAGCAATCAGAACGTGTTATTCATTATCCAGAAACACGCGCAGCGTGCCTTACGTAAAGTAAGCTCTCACCAAATATTTATCGATATTTTCTTCTACAGATGGCGCAATTCCGAGCTCTTATGACCTCAGAAGAAGGATCTTCTGGCCCAGATTGCTGCATGGTAAACAACTACCGTCCAACCATGCCGCTGAACGGCCGTGTTGTAAAATCGAGTTTCCAATAATTACGCGGTACAGCAGCTGACGTATATCCGTATTGCTAGTGGCAGTGCAACGAGCCACGGTGGTTTGATAATGAATAATAATAGGCCTAATAATAATAATGACAATAATAATAATAATAATGATACTAATATATTTGACCTTTAAATAAGTAACCACACACAACATAACACGCTTCATAGGCCTACAGATAAAACTACTTAACTGAACAACTAAACATTAACTTAAACACACGAAGAAGACATAAACTTAAAAACAATAATGCAATCATTAACTTGATATTTAAACAAAACTCATGCTAATTTAACAGAATTTTCAAAGGCTGATATATATAAATAATTGAGTATTGATCTCTCTAAATTGAATATTGTGTAAACAGTAAGGCTAAGCCTACTTCCAAATGTTATCGTGGTATTATAAAGAACGTATTTTTAGACCTAACACTATGCCATCCTATACCAAAGTCTATGTTAACGATTGTTAATTGCAGAATATGTGATACTCTCGTTTCGTTCGTTCTTTAATTTATTTAGTACTTAACCGTGGAGATAACAGAGTAGGTAAACTTAATGTTAATTGATCGACGACCAAATACGTAGTAGTGCGCCATCTCGCGATACTACAATTATTCGTAGGGTCAATGGTAGAATGTACCTATTAGCAAAGATACTAGAAATACAAGATAGAGCACTCGCATAGCAAAAATGAGGCGGAAATTGGTCCAGACGTACGTGGCGCCCTTCTCTTTTTACAATGCAAGTTTTCTATACTTGGTCCAGACCCACAGGGCGCCCTTCTATTGCTAGGTTTAACCAGATGCACGCGGCGCCTTCTTTTTCCACTGATGGAGGAAAACTTTATTACTAACATAGAGCTATTCTTATTATATCTCTATGATTACTAATCAGAGTCCGGTCATACGAATCTGCGTTTTTGTGTCTGTCATTTTATTGTTTTGAATTATTTATACTACTTGTTTGTATCTTATTGAAATGGCAACGATTTCAACCTCCGCAAAAGGAGGTTATATGTATTCACAGATGTAACGGTGGCAGATTTTTTTATAGATCCAGCCCGTACGCGGCGCCCCATTGTTTGTATTCCCACCATGCATTTCGGTGGAACAGTTTTTTCTATGGAGAACACTATCTTGTGTTTCTAGTATCTTTGCTGTTAGCGATTGATATTCCTATGTTGATTTTTTCATTGTTAAAGTTGTAAAATCTTAATTTAATTTAAATTATCAAACATAGAATAATACCAATAAGGAAAGAAAGAGTATATATTAAAAGATATATTGTATTTACATAGAAGATATATAAGATTATATAAACACTTATAAATTATGCTTCAATGTTTCAGATGCAATAATAAATCGAACTCGAGGATAACTATTTGTGTTACGAGTGGAATTTTTTTTCTCGAGAATATTGTTACTAGATTTGGATTGCTTTTAGTCACAGCACAAGTACAGCCACATAAGGTACATTGCATACGCGCCATCGATTAATATTTAATCTGACAGCTGTTATTTTTAAGAATCAAAAGCTTAAAGCAATTTAATTTTGTCTGTCTGTATTAAATAATCGGAAAATATAGGCCTATATATATATATATATATATATATATTTCATTTGTGTTCCACGTGTGTTACGACAGAATATAGAAAAAATGAAACAGCTTCAATAGTAGACCTTAAGAACACTGATTTATTAAAAACTCGGATATTTTTGCACTCTTGTGGCCTT